ACCATCATGTCTCAAGTTGAACAAAAATGCAGCCTGGTTGACTAATGAATGAATATTTGCTGTAAAATTCTTATCAATGCTATAAGTATAGCTACCAATTTGACTGTCAAATTTGCTTTCATTCCTTTAAGCTGCACACTCAATCCTTTCTTGGCTGCACCCTTTTTTTTCACACCTAAGGTGTTTTTTATTAGATTAATATTTAGGAAATTAACTAGTTGTTAGTAATTGTTTACCAGAAACAGTTTCTTTATAAGTAGCAAGTTTAAGAAGTCTGTATTGCTGTTAGCCAGACATGTTTTCATGATTAATTTGAGATATTTTTGTATGATTCTTATGTAATTTAAAGGTTGTAATGGAAAACCTGAAACAAGATTCTCGTATTACTGTTCTTGGCCATGTTCAACGTGGTGGGAGTCCATCAGCATTTGACAGGGTTTTGGTAAGTTACCGTAAAGATTTCTGGTATAATTTACTTAGATGATTGCCATTCGTATGAAACTTGTCTTTATTTGTGCATTAAAACTTTATGTCAGTTTTGTTAAATCAAGAAGTTTCTTTTTAAAAATTATGCTGGATTTATATTATTATTTATTTAATGCTGGTGAAGGTGGTGTGTTGAGGTTCTATGAATAATTAAATCATATTTGTATGCCTATCTCATCATTTATCAGATAATTCAACAGGTTATATATATTTTTAACTTCTTACATAAACTGTATTACTTTCTGAGACTGAAATCTCGTATTCTCTGGTTATGTGTATTGTTGATTAATAGAAACTGTGTGAACAAGTGAAAAATAAAGTTTTATCAACATTAGTATCTCTCTATGGCCAATGATAGTGCTAAACTTTTGACTGAATGTTTTTAATTGGTAAATGTTACTTATAATTGCATAAAATGAACAAAATTTTTTTATGTGTATATTTAGATTAAAGTGTAGAACGATGGTTCGCAACTGCTGGTTTGAAGAAATATTCAGCGAGTGTCTAAGACGTTTTGAGTAGATATTAAGATTATTAAGCTTCTCGGTTCTTTCAGACTTATCTTTACAGCTAGGTATAACTGTGTACATTCCCATTTAATTTACGGAGACTACATTTAATTTATAGAGACTATATCCTAACAGTTTGAAAGCTTCTTGCAAGGATTTTCCTTGGACTGAATAAGGTTCGGAACCACTTGTGTACAAAAACTACTAGTCTTTATAGTTGTGACCTAATATTTTATGTAAGATAACGTTGTTAAACCATTATTACATCACTCCAGGGCTGCAGGATGGGTGCCGAAGCCGTGTTAGCTTTGTTTGAAGCTACTCCAGAGTCGGAAGCTTGTGTGGTATCACTAGATGGGAACCAAGCCGTCAGGGTTCCTCTAATGGAATGTGTACAGAAGGTTGGTTGGATATTTGTTACCATTCATGTGGCTACTGCTATGTTTGTTTAATGTGGCATAGTGGAGAATAAGAAATAATTTTGCTTTTTATTCTCTTGTTACAGATTTTTAAACTATTGTCGACTCTCAATTTTCATCAGGTGTTTATTTAAAAAGGATTTTTTTCTTGGTACCTATATTTGTCATTTCTTGTGTGCTGTATTGTAAGCTTGTAAGATGGTTACCGAAACATTAATGTTTGTTGAAAACATACAGTTTGTTATTTCTCTCAGAAAATTCTCGATGTTAACTAAGTATTTTACATGCAGACAAAAGGAGTTGCAAAGTGCATGAGTGAGTCTCGGTGGGAAGAGGCCGTAAAGCTAAGAGGAAGGTGAGAATATCTTTCTTTTTTTATTACTGTAAGAGCTCTTGTAAGAGAACTTGACCAGTGATTTCTGTTTCGATAAATTCCTTACTTGAACATCGAAGTGTCGATTTTAAAGAAGTTTTAGTTTCAAGTATAAAGAAACTAAGTCTTGATATGTGATGGAAATAAATAAGTTATTCAGACATATACATATATATGTATATATATATATATATATATTGGTTTTGTTCTTTCTATTATTATCATGCCTTGATATTCTTTATGAATTGTTCTTCTCTCTGCAATTTATAGAGGGAAAGCTTTATGCATTGACACATGACAGTTAACATTAGCAGTGATTTAGTGCTATATTTAGAAGTGAGGGGATCACCACAATCTTTCTTATCCCCCCCCCCTCCATTGTACAGAAAGCTAATTAATGAACTGGTTATTTAATATGATTATCAAGCTTAGTAATTCATAAAATAATTG